CTCTCCTCTCCTTCCCTGCAGCAACCTCCTGTCCCATCCATTTTTGCTCCCCTTCCACAAGGATCTTCAAAGATTGCCATACCGTTTGGAACAGGGCCTAGACCCTCACCCATGTGTGTAGGCTGACAGAGTATCCCTCTATATGGAATGGGCTCCCAAAGTCCATTCATGTACTAGGTATAAATACTGATCCACTACTAGATGCCTCATAGATTGCCCAGACCTCCAAACTGTCATCCACATTTAGGAGGTCTGAAACAGTCTTATGCTGGTTTCCAAGCTATCAGTCTGGGATCCAAGATCTCCCCCTTTTTTAGATCAGATGTTTCTGTGGGTCTCTCCAGCCTGGTCTTCTCCTTTGCTCATCACTCCTTCCTCTCTGCAACTGGATTCCAAGAGTTTGGCTTAGTGTTTATCTGTGGGTGTTTGCTTCTGCTTCCATCAGCTACTGTATGAAGGCTCTAGGATGACATATAAGGTAGTCATCAATCTTATTATTTTCAGGTAGCCTCTAGACTATTTCTTAGATTATTATTTCGGGTCATCCTTGTAGATCTCAGGACATTTCCCTAGTGTCAGATTCCTCTTTAACATGTAATGGCTCCCTCTGTAATGGTATCTCTTTTCTTTTTTTCCTCTATTTTTCCCCTGGCTCAGTCTTCGTGCTCACTCATGGCCTCCTTTCCTCCTCTTCTCCCCTTCTTTTTCTCGTAACTCACCCTCCCCTCCATCATGCTCCTAAATAGCTCAGGAGATCTTTTCCCTTTCCCCTTCTCTGCAGGACCATATATATCTTTCTTAGGGTCCTCCTTATTTCCTAACTTTTCTGTAGTTGTGATTGTAGGCTGGTAATCCTTTGTTCTATGTCTAAAAATTCATATATATGTATGTGTGTGTGTATGTGTGTGTGTGTGTGTGTGTGTGTGTGTGTGTGTGTATACCTCACTGAGCATGGTTTCCTCTAGTTCCATTCATTTGCCTGCGATTTTCAAGATCCCATTGTTTTTTTTTCCACTGAGTAGTACACCACTTTGTTAATGTACCACATTTTCTTCATCAGTTCTTCAGTTGAGGGGCATCTAGGTTGCTTCAAGGTTCTGGCTATTATAAATAATGCTGCTATTAACATAATTGAACAGACATCCTTGTTGTATCAATGTGCATCATTTGAGTATATGCCTAAGATTGGAATTGTTGGATCTTGTGATAGACCGATACCCATTTTCCTGAACAACTACCATACTGTTTTCTAAAGTGGCTATACAAGTTTGCACTTCTACCAGCAGTGGAGGAGTGTTTCCCTTTCTCCACATCCTCTCCAGCATAAACTATTGGTGTTTTTTGAACTTCGCCATTCTGACAGGAGAAATATGGAAAATTAATGTTGATTGTAGAGTCACTGTCTCTTGACAAATTGTCTCTCATCTGGGGATCCAAATATAGCAACTCTGGGAGGTGGATCTTCTCAGGGAGGACTATGAAAAATAAGGTCAGTTGCAGTTGAAGTAATAGAGATTTTCAGCAGTGACATATTTCAATTCATCTTCAAGTGACAATGTAGTGCCTAGAAGGCTCTGGAGCAAAACAGTTAAGCCAACAGGATGGACTTCTCTTTGCTCATCCTAATTACTTAGATTTGAGTGACCCTTAATCACTGGGAGTTATATGGTTTAATAAGGTGATCCCTAGCACTGTACATCTTTAGAGAGACTACTCACTCATTTCTACATCCATCCTTGAATATCTTATAATGATGGTGCTATGAGAGTTACTACAATTCAAATGCCAGTTTCCTTAAAAGTGATACATATTTATCTAACAACAGCCAGTGCCTTCCTGGCCTCTGTAGAATTTCAGGGTCTCAACCTAATGTGGTACTATATTAAATGTTTAAGCTGAATATTCTCCCCTTCAAAAGGTTCCCAAAATATTGAATTTTCAATGTAAACTTAAATTCACATTGTAATTGTACTTTTACTACATTATGGTGTGTGACATCAGGTTTGTCTTTTGTGGCTGAGCAGAAGCATCTTAAACTCACATGTAGACACTTGATCACAAGAAGAAACTATCACTTGGGAATCAAGATTCGCTAGATTCAGTACAGGTGAAGTGAAGTTTATTCGGGGAGATTGCACTTACACAGGTGGTGGGTGATTGCCACAATTTCCCTGCTCCAAAGATTCTCCCAGGCTTTTCCCTGTGACCCAACCAGAAGCCAGAGAGAGCTCTGGAATCTACTACACCAGATCTAGTCCCATCCTCCTTCATATCCTCAACTGTGACCATACCCAACCAGGCGCAATCAGTGCTACATATATGGATTGGGTAGATATCTCACTACAAGAAACAGCAACATCCATAGTGTGTGTATAGAACTTGATAATGGCAACAATGTACAAAGTAATTCTTTAAAACTATATAAGATATTTTTTAAATGTTATATAGAATTACTTTGTACATTGTTGCCATTATCAAGTTCTATACCATTTCATCTGGATGTAGCCTCATGGTTAGAAAGGGAGTACTTAATACCTAAGAAGATAAATTTATTAGGCTCATAAGAGAACATACTCCTTAAACTCATTTCCAGCTGTATTTAGCACTTACTCACTGGTGCATCTACATTTGGAATAGCATTGAGTATATGTGCATTTGTAAAACTCTTTTTTTTTGTTTTTGGTTTTTACGAGACAAGGTTTCTCTGTATTGTTTCGGAGGCTATTGGTCCAGCCTGGCCTCGAATGTGCCACCACCGCCCGGCTGTAAAACTCTTTGGACATTATATTTCCTTATGACCCTGACAACTTGAGGGAAAGAACAGCTCCATTCTGGAGTTTTCAACAAAAGCATTTTTTTCTAACTATACTAATATTTAGTAGCAATCCCTTTAAATGCACTTTTTTCTTTAGATTGCAAAATGGACAATACCAGAAGTAGGCACCACTAACATGTTATCTATCTAGCTCATTTCACCAGACATAGAGCTAAAATCAGTGTCACACCAGAAAACAAGATGTCCCTAGTTTGGCCCCGGTAAGATATGCAGGGTTTTTCTCACTTTGTTAAGAGTTGTGGTGACAATGACCATACTCACAATCAGCCCACTGAAACCAGAGATCCAGAAAGTTAAGAGTCATCAAAAGAGCAGAATAAGCCTGAACTCTCTTTTAGAGTCAGTCTTTTCTGTTTGGGAGGATACTTTCCTCTGTCAATTCATTTTATCCATACTCCCATCTCTGATTGGAGTGAAATGAGCTAACAAACTAGTTAGGATTGCATGGGCAAACCAGGTCTCTGCTGAGAAGCTTTCAGGAAAACAAGGAAACAGATAATGTGTTTAAATGTTGTTGGGTACATAATAAACAACCATTCTCAATACAATTTATCATGATAAAAATAGACCTCAAACTACTCACTAGAACTTGCCTTGCTAAGGACATCACATTAAACCATGCTTCACAGAAATATATGGGCAATTCTCTGGGTCACAACTATTCTCCACAAGACAGGAAATGAAAAACACAGAAAAGTCCTCCCTTGTCAGTTTAATACCTCTAAATAAATAGACACTGCTCTGGATTATTCTGGTTTGCCCTAAATAAAGGACTACAAAGGTGTATAAGCCAAGATCTGTCTATGTCATATCTTGTAATTTGAATATTTAAGCCTCAGAAACCACAAACATCTCACAGTTCCTTAAAAGTAATGTATTTTTCAGAAGAGTAGGAATTAGAGATTAGAAAACACAATGGATTTTTGGATGCTTATCTTCAACTTCATGCTAATCAGTGTCAAAGGTAAGATATTCTCTGAGTTCAGAATTCAATATCATTTTTTCAAAAATAATACTATGTCTAAGATAAACTACCTTTCATTTTGTTGCTTCTCAGTGTTGTATGGGTTCAAATTATTTGTATATCTCTATGTCTACTAATCTCACTCTTTTTTCTTCTTTATCCTGATCATAGTGTTGAGGGGAGAAATTGTGCTTATCCTGTCTCCAGCATCCAAGTCTGCCTCTGAGAAGGAGAAGGTCACCATCACCTGTTTTGCCAGCTCAAGTTTAAGCACCAGTTATTTGCACCGGTACCAACAGGAGCCAGGAGCCCCCCCCCTCCAAACTCATTATAGCATATCCAACCTGGCTACTGGAGTTCCATCCTGTTTCAGTGGTAGTGGTTTCAGGACTTCTTATTATCCTACAATCAGCAGCATGCAAACTGAAGATGTTGGCACTTACTACTGTCAGATGTGGAGTACACATATCTACAGTACTATAGAATGGAACAAAAACCATTAACCTACCTAGAACCCAAATACTTCCTCCTAGACATGAAATGTATCCAAGTGTTATTCCCTTAAGATTTTCAAATATTTAAGATTTGCTTTTTTATTTTATATGTGTTGGTGTTTCATCTGCAAATATATTTGTGTACTATATGAATACAATGCCCTCAGAGGCCATAAGCATTGCTCAGATACACTGGAATTGGAGTTTGAGACAACTAGTAGCAGTCATGTGGTTGCTGAAAATAAAATTCATGTCTGGAAAAGCAGCCAATATTCTTAACCACTAAGCCCTCTTCCCAGACTCCCTCATCTGTATTTTAATATTCTAATTACATAATCATTTTTTGCAAAGATAACTCCAGCTTGGTGTGCCTGTGTGGTTGGAGATGTGTGTTGGTGTATCAGTGTTTATGTGTGTTAACATCTGTGTTGTATGAATTTTAGCTGTTACAACTCTGTTATTCAGGAAAGTTACTTTTCTCATTCTAGTCATAGGAATAATTACTGTGTTTTTAATATTAGGGTTATGGAAGAGGACAGACATTTAGGACATGAAGAAAATTTTCCTGATCCCTGTACTAAAAAGTCACTTTGAACTTTATATCTGAGCAACGAAAAATAGTCCTAGCATCTGAAGACACCAGAAGCAGCAATTGGGGAAGCCTGGTCTCTCACATTTGAGCTCTCACTTCTGCTTCCCTGGTAGTTTATGCAATGACTTGAATCACTGTGGGAGGTAAAGTGCTACCCTGTTGACAGTAATAAGTTGCAAAATCTTCAGACTGCAGACTGTTGATCTTGAGAGAAAACTGTGTGCCAGATCCACGGCCACTGAACCTGGATGGGATCCCATTTGCCAAGCTGCTTGCAGAATAGATCAGCAACTTAGGAGCTTTCCCTGGTTTCTGCTGATACCACGCTAACCAAGCACCAATATTCTGACTGGCCTGGCATGTGATGGTGACAATGTCTCCCAGAGATGCAGAAAGGGAGGCTGGAGACTGAATCATCTGAATGTCACATCTGGAACCTGACATTGGGGAAAAAAGAAAAACACAAAATATATAATACTATCCTCAAAAGTCAGCTCATAGAAATTTCCCCACAAGCTGGGCAGTACTCCCCACACTGAGACAAGCAGTGCTGTCCTCCATACCTGAGATCCAGAGCAACAGCAGCCCCAGGAGATGAGCAGGAGCCCTCATGTCTGTGCTGTGTCCTGAATGGGACTGACTCCTGCACAGGGTGTGACCAGCCTATTAAGAAGATCCCAGGACAGCAGGATGGTCTCCTGTTACATGCAAATCAGCAGGGTCTAGATGATGTGGGCAGAGCTGCAGGGCTCTCTCTCCTCAGGAAAGGACCCTAAAAGCTCCTCAGGACTCAATGTTCTGGGCCTGATTAGAACATTGTGTGATTCACTACAGAAAACATGTTCGTCCCTAAGACTCATAGGACAGACTGGCTCTGCGATCCTGAAAGTGGATTTCTTTATTCCTGCATGGTTTGTGACAGATTTCTAGCTAGTTTTACATGTTTCTCTATCTTTCACAAAGGCATTTCTATAAAGTATAATGTATTTAGAAGCCACCTTCATTTGGTCATGTGCATATTTTTTAGATCAGAGGATTATTTGTCCCAATTCCCAGAATTCTTTGCTGTAGCTGCCATCTATAGCACCATTCAGCAGTGGGGAAATGTAAAAGAATAATAATGATAGTTATATTTAGTTATTGATTAGATAAAAATATTTTTCCATTTTGAAAAAATTGTGTGAATAAATTTAATCTATGTTAAACTGTCTAATCTTCCCTGTAGGGACCAGCCATAAAAGCATATGCCACTACCAACTTACTGTCTTCTAATAACTGGTTGGTGTCCTTCTTTGTTTAATGTTCTTTATCACTTCTTTCTTCTGAGACAGTCAGCATGAGGGGTTTTCTGTGCCTATGTCTGAAAAAGTGTATACTACCATCTTAGCCCTGTGGTAATGATGAATGTCCAAATGACTAACATGCTTCTGTGAGGCTGTTCATGACAGATTCTGATAACAACGACACATTTTCCCCAGAAGTTTTTGTTCTCAGAAAGTGTTCCACTGTGAAAAAAATATATGCTGTTCAACAAAATTATGCATGTCTTTGTGGTCCACACCTAACAGCTTCCAATATAAACCAGTTATTAATACTTGGTTAAAGTGTGTGCCACCCCGGCAGTTAACAAAGATGAAATGCAATGTCATAAAATACAGGAATCCCTGAGTGAATAAAGTCCTGAGTGAATATATGCTGTTAACAGGGGCATACCTTTGTTGAATATTTTAAGGACTTGGACATATGGAACTACTTCTTTATATGGAGTTTGCTCAAGAGTGGCAGAAAAGATCTTGGGAATCCAATATGAGTGATGATGAACAAGTGATTGCTATATGAGAAGATTTCTTCTTCTTGAACATTTATAGCCTGAAATTAATGATTGAAAAGACACCTCCTATGGAGACCAGATAATTCCTCATCTGGGGCTGTACCTCATAAACATGCTGAGGTTCTGTGTTGCAAAACGTAATAGAATCCCACATGATCCCAAATCCACTGCACTTTTGACTCAATAAATATCCTTCATTCCCTTGCTGTACCTAATCATGGTTCCAGGTCTCAATATGTGCTGGTCAAGAACATGAAGACAGAGTACTGGGAACAAAAACATCCTCTGTATTTGGTAGATATGAAAAAAAGATCATGGGATGTGAAGCAGCAATGGAGTAAAGAGAATTTCCATATACATCATTAGAGCATATGGAAACACACTACACCCAGTAGAAGAGCATGGAACCTTGGATTAGAAGGGACAGAACTCTCATCTGGCATAAAATTCTACTTCACTTTACAAAACAAGAAAATTACTTCCAGTGGATAAGGCAATATTATTTTGGGGTGAGAAATATACAGAAAAACCATTGTCTAAAGTTATGTGGCAAATTAACAATGTCCGGTGGAGATAATCATTTTTTTCTGGCAGTTAAAATTTATTGGAAAATAACCACACTCACTTGTTTACATAACTTCTGGCTGTTTATGCTACAATAGCAGAGTTGAACAGTTGTGATAGATGCTGTAAAGGCTACAGAAAAAGCTATGTAGTCCTTGAGCTGGACTCTGAGGGTTCCTGTAAGGTCTTCCTGGAAGGTAGGGCTTGCTATAATTTGAGTGCTAAAGGGTGCCTGACATTCCTGTCTTATTTTGGAAGAGGTTGATCCCTGGCTGATCAAGTAGCTCTCACAGATGTCATCCACAGTCTTCTCTGATGAAGGTGGCTGTCTCACCAGGATCCTACAGACCAAGAATCATGACATCAAAGCTGCTCTGAACACAATCCAGTATTCAAAATACCGTCTGTTATTTTGACAGTGCTTGAGCCCAAGCAATGTGACCTACCCCCTTTGTCTTATAGTCATATCAAGTAGAACTGCAGGACCTCTATAAGTCCAGTTTCTGGGCATTCTTCCAGAATCTGCAGGTGGGAGTGTGTGAAGTCTTAGATGGCAGTATAATGGTGACATGAGGGGAGAGTTCCAAGAGTGCACATGCTAATACCACATCATGTACTTATGGTTGAGTTTCCTCTGCCTTCCCTAGGCGATCAGGACAGGACTTCGTAGTTTCCCCTGAGGAAAAGCAAGTTCCATGATGTTGGTCACCGTTCTGAGGGCAGGGCTGTTGCCTTGTCTCTCTGTCTCAAACAGGCCAGTGAAGTTCTGGCATTCAAAGTTGTCCTTAACACTGACCATGTCCTGGAAATTCAAGTTCTGTGTAGGCTGTCCTGTGCTTTGTTTACCTTTCCTCTTCTGAGGTCTTGATAGACTTCAGGACAGACCTGGCCACTCAGCACTGACTGAGGAATGTGTCTTATGACCTGCTCATTCTCTGTTCTGCTCCTAGTCTTCACAACAGCCCTTGTCCAGATGCTTCAGCCAACAGGACTCTAGAGTCTCTGACAGTGCCTTTGTATTTCCTGCGGCTTCACACCAGTGTGCATTTGGATGCATCAATAAGCATTTGCTGAACAATTGACTATTGCTGTTGTTGGACATTGAACCCCCAGCCTGCTGATTCCTATTTGCAGCCTACTGAAGGCCTGCATTTCCTCTTCACTTGAAGTTTTGTCCACAGCTTTGATACTTGTCCCTGCATCAGATGAAGCTTTTGGACATGCCATCTACGGTAAGCAGCAGAGCCTTCACGGTAAGCCCGTCCAATGGACTGCTTCTCCCAACAAGCCTTACATGTACATTTGATACTTTTTTTTTTTACCTAATCTGCCTGAAAGAGGTGGCAGATGCAGCACTGCAGAGCCCAAGACTGCTGCACAGGCACTATACAGGCATCATTTGTCCACTGTGGGAGGATCACTTCTTGCTGTAATGATCTCCCAAATGTCCACCATATTCTTGTATTCATGTCTCCAAAATCAGTACCAAAAGAAAGATGATACCAAGTTTTCCTGTCGGTTATGGATAGAACCTGCTCCTCTTGGACAGCAGTTGCATTTTCTATATAAATTTTTAAGTTTATAGCTATTTAATGCTAATTAAAGGTGTTGTAATGTTCAAAGTACAGAATACTTTCATATGCATGAGTTCAATCTGAATCACAATCATTTTACTTTGTTGGAAACAAGGCTTTCAAATGGGCTCTATGAAAAATCCAAGGTCTGTGGGGTGTCTACCCTATACAAATGAGTTCAAATGGTTTCTCTTATTGCAAAGAGAAGAGTTTCTCTTTTTTGCAAACCTGGGAGAGTTTTTGACTTTTTGAAACAACACATGCCGAGATCAACAAATAAAAATCAGAGAAATATGTATGTGTATCATACATATCATATCTCACATGCCCCACCCTTCTCATACATGGACAGAACACATGTAATCATCAGTGACACTCATAGTTCATCCTCTCTTCCCATTCTTCTGTCTCACTTTCCTCTGTCCTTACCAGGAATCCAGAACAAAAGCAGTATCAACAGTTGAACAGGCAACTTCATTTTGAGGAGGCAACCTTAGGAGACTGATTAGTCACCACAAGAAAATAACCCAGCTTTTATCTGAGACAAGGAAGTATGGGGATTCCCATGGGAACATTATACAAAGGCATGGGTGAGTGATGCAGTATATATACAGACAAGTGTTATGTAGGCTTCTCATTGCAAATAGCACATAAACTCTCTTCTATGCCAGAGATGACAATGATAAAAAATGGTGTGCTTGATGAGAAAAGACCAAGAAAAAACTGTTGATCAAGACAACACTAATAACACAAAATCTTCTGAATTAGAGAATTGGCACATGAACACAATGTAATGCAAATAATATCATGGAGTTTTAAAACTTGATAAATCCAGTCTAGAATTTAAGTAGAAATTTCAATGAATGGACTAATTAAGAGAATTCTAGAAATGTGGGTATGTATTCTGACTTGCTTGTTGTTTTTATAGAAATCTGCAGTAATTAAATCTGTGTGAACCATAGGAACACAGATAAACAGGTAGATGAATGGGACATCATGATGAGACTGAGCATATATTTATTCACACATGAGATAGATATTAGAGGGAGAGAGAGAAAGAGAGGGAAACAGAGATTGAGAGAGGAGCACAGGGTTACAGATCACAGATCACTTTTGTTGTTTTAGTGTTTTGCTTGTTCCTAAATGTATGCTCTGGAATATCAAATCTTCATCTATATCACTTTTAGAAGCATATTTAAAACAATCCTTTACTTTCTATTATTTCATATAGACAAGTCTATATTCCACTTCATACAGTGGGATTGAAGCTGGTTCAATAATGTTTCATTCTTATTAGAAGACCAGTGAAAATAGGAGCCAGAAAAATCCTATGTAAAGGGCTGCAGACAGCTGAGGGTCTCAACGCCCTCCGCGGAAATTTCAAGACACATTAGATTATGTCTAAGCATCTTTACCAGTTTCTGACACTTGTCTTCTAGCTTTTGTAAGAAAATATATAAACCTTCCTATTATCAACTTTACTCAGTAATGTCTCCTGACCTTCAAATGCTGGCATTTATAAGTTAATCTTCTGTATTTAAAGAATATGTGCTGGAATGCCCACAGACTCTGCTTTATAAGTCCCAACTGGTAATAAAACTCAGACACCTCCTGTGAAATATCTATGACCTCTGTTAATGAAGAAAAGACGTTGGTACTCTGTCATGCTGCTAATGAACAGAAAGAATGGCAATTATGGCATAGAGAGGAGTGGTTAGCCTCTTCTACAAAAAGAAATGATTCACTATAAACACTGCTGAAAATGCTGTAATATCTGAGAAACAGTTTCACTATATGACCCCCCAGGGAATGTCTGGGGCAGCCATGCTATACGCTTCTGCTTCTTTGGAGGTATATGTTATGACTTGAATCACTGTGGGAGGATAGTTGTCATATTGTTGACAGAAATAAGTTGACACATCTTCAGGCTGCAGACTGCTGATCTTGAGAGAATACTGTGTGCCAGATCCACTGCCACTGAACCTCGATGGGACCCCATCTTCCAATCTGTTTGCATCATAGATGAGGAGCTTAGGAGGTTTCCCTGTTTCCTGCTGATACCATGCTAATTTAGTGTAAATGTCCTCACTTGATTGGCATGTGATGGTGACACTGTCTCCCAGAGATATAGACAGAGAGGCTGGAGATTGGGTCATCTGAGTGTCACATCTGGCACCTGAGATGAAAAATTGTAGGTAAATTTCTATACAGTTAATGCTATTAGATCAAGGCTCTCACAGAGACAATGAAATACTAACCAGATTAAGAAGAATAAATTTCCAATGCTACTTGGAAATTTATTTATACAAATTAAAATTTATTACCTGTAAGCCAGAGCAGCTGCAACACCAGAAGTAGTTTTGGGACCCTCATGTCTGTGCACCTGTCTGAGACTGATTCCAGCTTAGATGTGACCTAATTATGAAGAAGGGCAGTGGACATGCTCTAGGAACATGCAAAACAGCAATGGCTGAGCACATCTGTAGGACTGGTCTAGCTGGTGATATATTACAGGCCTGTGTATCAGATCAAAAAGGTGGTACAGGTTTATTTGTGGGGAATGTGCTCCTCTTTGAACAACAAAGAACAGCCCTACTCCATGACTTGCTCTTTATTTTTATTTCTGTTGTGTTCAATATAGAAGTTCCTTGTTATATTTCCTTTCATGGCAGGGACTGTCAGATATGGTACAATTCTAGAAAGTACATAAATCCTTACAGGTTCCTTACATAGGTAGATATAAATGTGATGGAGACCAAGCAGCTACTTATTTATTTCTATTTGTGAGATTGTATTTTAATTAACATTTCATTTCTCCCTTCCTATTCTCTTTTCAAATCCTCCTACCAATTTTTTTCATTCTTCTCCAAATTCATGGCCTATTTTTCATTACTTTGGTAATATATGCATATCAATGTTTGTATATACATGAGTGCTCCAAAACATGTTGTGTTAAAATTATTTAATGAAACTTGTATTTATGTTTTCAGGGCTGATCATTGGGGTAAGGGCAGCAAGTTGGTATGCTCTTTCTTGGGGATAAGCGCCTCTCCTGCTGTCTGGTTTACTCAATTGTATACAATCCTTTGTGGAGAATCAATGTTCCACATTCTCTTTGGTGTTCTTACTGTTTAGTTCATATGAGTTAGTAATGTTGCTGAGACTTTACATGTATAACTCCTGATGTTACTAGGAGACAAAAATCTCACAGTACACTCCATGATCCTATTGCTCTTACAATATTTCAATTCCACTTTCAAAAATGTTCCCTGAACTTTGGGTATGGAAGTATTGTGTAGATATATTCACTGGGATTTAACTCCCAAAGTCCCCATGGAGCTTCTTGCTCACAATGATTCCCGCAACAGGAATAGAATTCTACTTGAAGACGTAATTTATAAGGAAGGATGGAATCTCATGTAACTAACATATCTTTTCAGATAAACAGTCTAATTTTACTTATTTATCATACCTCAGCTAAACAAGAACTACTTCTATTAAGATCAGACGAGATCATGGGTTTTCTACACTTTCATTTGTGCACATAAATACTTTCTATATGATAGTGGGATCATATCTGTATCCAAAGTCCCTGTGGTGGTTCAGATTATTAAACCTGAATCCTATCCCCTGTTATCACCAATTATTATCTTTAAGGGTTTTGAGTTTTCTGTCAAAATTATACCTCATGACCTTGAATGTGAAATGGTTCCAGATTTGCATATGCTATGGGTACCGTATTTCTTCCAGATATTGACAGAAAATGTCTCTATTGGGTTGTGGCAATAGAATACAGCTGCATGGTGAGAGTGTGCGAAAGCGACTGTAGAAGGTAAACATAGGGAGTTACTACCAAAGTGTGGAAGATATAAAGTGTGTCAAAATCAGGAGTAAGGTATGGACCTACTGAGAGGTTGAGTGGGAGGAGTTTTCCAGGTGCATACAACTATTATGTAGTGGATAGAATTTAGACATGGTGAGAAGGACACACACTTATGGCCAGAAAATGATGATGGACACAGAGGAGATGCCAGAATCAATAAGTTGCTGGATATGTTCAGAAACTGGTTGGCCTATAAATCAATAACAAGAGTGACTCTGATGTATGTGTCCATAGATTTTGCAATGAGCGATATATCAGAGTCTACAACAGAGTTAATATCTGTGCAATCTGTCCTAATTCTATGCATTAATATGAATATATTTTAAGTACTGACAACATATGTATTTGGTTTTTTTAGGCAATAAGATCATGTTCACAAACATACAGAAGCCATTAAAATTGTAATTTATTTTGCAGCTGGCAGCACTTCCCTTTAAAAACTGCATTTAATATGGCAAAGTTATTTATTTGGAAACTAATTAAAATATTAATGAAAATTATAACTATGGTTTTATGTATTACTGTTTTTTGTGTATATGACCATTTTGCTGCATGTGCAACACAATTATGTCTGTTTCCCAAAGAGGTCAGAAGATGGTCACATATACCCTGAAACTAGAATGGTTTCAACCCACCCTGTGGATACTGGGAGTTAAGTCACTTCTCTGGGAAAACAAAAAGTTCTCTTAACTGATGAGAGATCTTCCTATCAAGTCCCTGAAAATTATAATTATAGGTGGCTTATGGCCCTATTGCATACATACAAACACATTTATTATTTTTCCCTTTCTACTATCTAGGCTAAAATCTCACCCCAATCCATCATGGCGGTTAGGGCGACGACAAAGGGTGAGAGTGGTGGAAGGAAGAGGCATAGAGAAAAAAACATTAAACTCACTAAAAATAAATAACTCCAACAACCACAAACTGATGTTCATCTTTGCAACATGTCATTATATAGCACAGAGTAGTCAACCACTCAGTGATTATATGGAGAGTATTTGTTCTCTACATACAAGTAGAACTGAAATCATTGTTGTTCACCTTCCAAGTCAGGAGAGCTGGAGAAAGTCAATTTTTGTGTCTGCTATACCTGGCTCACACCTGAGGAGCATCAATAGAGAATCTGATCTTCTGTCTTATTCTCTGAGAATAATGACATCATTTTCATCACATTTGTTTCATGAATGTATTGACACAGTGTCTTAGTGCTTTCAACTGACTACTACTACCTTCAGTTCCTTCATGAAGTTACATACTCAGAATATCCCAAAGTTATTATTGGTCTTAAGATATGATACAAAAAAAGTTGGGTCAGTACCAGTCCATAGCAAATTTGTTATGCTCATAGTCTTTAGAAAGACTATTTTCCAGCACATGCTATTGCCGTATTGAAAGTAAAATGACAGTCGAACTGCAGTCTAATTCTTGGACTGCTGGTTAAACTGCCAAGGCATGAATAATTTATTATCTAAAAAACTGTGTAAAATGGCGAGGGCACTCAGTGAAAAAACACATTGTCACTAGTAGGGTTTGCCTAATTCTAATATCATGTATTAGGTACCTAGAATACTGTCTGCCTTTGGCTAGAGAAGGACACAGGGAAACCATAAATTAAGGAGCTTCTTATGTACTGTATAGAAAGTACAGATCTTCAGATCCTTCCTATAACAGTGACAAGAGATTTTGGATATCATGAAGTTTACACTCACATTGGTTCACAGCCAGTTCCTTCATGACACCAAATATAAAGGTTGGAAATCTTCCAAAGAGAAAAAACACAATGAAAAACAGCTCATTTTAATAGATTTATATCCTTACAACATTCCAGATTGGAAAAATGGACAAAAGAGACATTTCCACAGGTAATGAATTGCCACATCATACATGTATCTCACTTTCTATAATGATCCTTTGAGATCAGGTTGAAGATTTTGATGTCAGCTGAATTAGCTTAACATGCTTTCTCTCAGACTTACATGATTTCTTCTTATGGCTTTGTGTTCTCAAATTTGGGAAATCTAAGATGTTAACTAGCATCCTCCATTCATCTTATAAGAATATGCACTCCAGTTGCTGCATCCGCTGTGCATTGGACTCCAATGTGTGAACAGGAAAGGAAGTAGGCGTCATATTTACCTTCCTTATCCAAGAAGATTGTTGTTCAGAATCAGAGATCTAGCATACACTTTTCTCCATTTTCATCGTAAGAAATTATTAGGATCTCCAGTCTCCTTTGACAAACAGTGGGTAAATAAAGTGCTAGGAGGAAATGCTGCAAGCCAAATAATCAGAAAGTGAAAACGTCTATGGTCCTTACTGTACAGCATTTGATGGAAAAAAGCTGGTGACTCTGACTGGATATAAATTTATTTTGCATCCCCAGTTAGAGGGAGTTTTGAAATAAGGACAGGATTGGGGTTTGTGCAAGTGTGCTACAAAAAGGTTTGGCAGTGATTTATGGCAAGTTGTAATGCATTCAGCAAAAACTAATGAATCAAATCCAGGACAATTTCTTCCTGTGAATTATCAACAGCATTTGTAAGAATTATGCGTGGTTCATCACACTTAAATATGTGCAGAAACAGATGTATATGCTCACCAATTTTGCAAAAAGTAGTAACAAAATTTATTCAGGGATGTAGCACAATCGTGGATTCCTTATCTACTATGTAAAACCCTGGATTACACCTCCATCATTGTTTGAACTGGGCATGGTGGTGCATTCTCTTTTTTCCCTTTTTTTAATTTAAATTAGAAACAAGCTTGCTTCACATGTCAATCCCTACTCCCTTCTCCTCCCCTCCTCTACCAACCCCCACCAACTCCCACAACACCCCACTCAATTGCCCCTTTGCTACTCAGGGAAGGGGAAACAATCAATTGGGATGTCCAGAAACTGTCATTTCATCCTAAGCCCTCCCCCATGTGTCCAGGCTGAGAGAGCATCCCTCTATGTGGGATGGGCTGCCAAAGTCCATTTGCATGCCAGGAATAAATACTGATCTACTACCCAAGGCCCCATAGATTGCTGAAGCCTCCTTGATAAAACCCAGATTTGTGGGTCTGGGTCAGCTCCATGCTGGCCTCTCAGACATCAATCTGGGGTCCAAGAGTTTCCCCTTGTACAGTCCAGCTGTCTCTGTGGGTTTCACCAGCCCTGGCTTTACCCCTTTGCTCATCACATCACTTCTCTCTCTCTCTACAACTGGTTTCCAGCAATTTAGTTCAGTGTTTTGCTGTGGGTATATGCCTCAGCTGCCATCAGCCACTGGATGAAGTCTCTAGGATGGCATATAAGGTAGTCATCAAACTCATTATCAGGGAAGGGCATTTAAGGTAGCCTCTCCACTATTGCTTAGTTTGCCAATTGGTGTCATCTTTGTAGATCTCTGGGAAACTTACTCTAACGTATAATGACTCCCTCTGTTATGGTATCTCTCATCCTGATCTCCTGTATTCTTCCCCTCCTCCCACTCAACCTTTCTGCTCCCTCATGTTGTCCTCTCCCTGCCTCTTCTCTCCCTCACTTTTCCCAGCTCCCTCTCCTCTCCCTCCATGCTCCTAA